GAGGGATGGGTGGGTGGGTGGATGGATGGATGGGTGGGTGGGTGGATTGATGGATGGATGGGTGGGTGGGTGGGTGGATGGGTGGATGGGTGGGTGGATGGGTGGGTGGGTGGATGGGTGGATGGATGGGTGGGTGGGTGGGTGGGTGGGTGGATGGATGGATGGGTTGGTGGGTGGGTGGGTGGATGGATGGATGGATGGATGGATGGATGAATGGGTGGGTGGGTGGATGGAGGGATGGGTGGGTGGGTGGATGGATGGATGGATGGGTGGGTGGATGGGTGGGTGGATGGGTGGGTGGATGGATGGATGGATGGATGGGTGGGTGGATGGGTGGATGGATGGGTGGATGGATGGATGGGTGGATGGGTGGATGGATGGATGGGTGGATGGGTGGATGGATGGATGGGTGGATGGTTGGTTGGATCCATGATGTGTGCCTATTAACAACTACACACAATTGACACTGAATGGTACAATAAATACACAATGTACACACAATAAATGAACCACGATTATCTTTATGCCCAAAACGTCTGTTTTGGTTATTTTGTGTTTCTTACTCCAGAAGCTCCTCGCAGTGTAATTGGACGACTGCGGGTCAATGTGACGTATTCCTTCCAGTGCCAGTCTTGTGGGTCCATGGTGCTTCAAGACCGGTTAGGAGTGTTTCTTTTTTATTACCTCTGGTTTTACTTGATTTGGTCAAGTAATGCATCAAATAATAGTTATAAGTTCAACCAGACACATTATTTCAAAGTGTTGAAAGTGAGACTATCTTCTTAATCTTAAAGGGCTTTTGGGCGAGTTCTTCCTTTGCCCAATGGAAACTGGAATGCATTAGTGGACGACTGGTGCTGCCACCCCGATCCCTTCGCAAACAGAAAGCTGCTCCCACGAGATGGAGACTGTCTGCTTGGTGACACGTTTATTCTGTTGGCACGGGACATCAGCTGTGAACAGACCCTCACACGGGAAGGGAACTTATCTCAGAAAGCCTCTGCAGAGGTAAAGACTTATGATAAAAGTGCCCCTATTATGCTTTACATTCTGATATGTTCTAAAGATCAAATGGAGTTATTGCTTCCCAAAAGTAAAAAACGATTCTGAAATCAAATGACTGAATTACTGAAAAATAGAGCAGAGTAGACCAATCACAACAGACTGGGCCATCTGACCAATCAGAGCAGAGTAGACCAATCACAACAGACTGGGCCATCTGACCAATCAGAGCAGAGTAGACCAATCACAACAGACTGGGCCATCTGACCAATCAGAGCAGAGTAGACCAATCACAACAGACTGGGCCATCTGACCAATCAGAGCAGAGTAGACCAATCACAACAGACTGGGCCATCTGACCAATCAAAGCAGAGTAGACCAATCACAACAGACTGGGCCATCTGACCAATCAGAGCAGAGTAGACCAATCACAACAGACTGGGCCATCTGACCAATCAAAGCAGAGTAGACCAATCACAACAGACTGGGCCATCTGACCAATCAGAGCAGAGTAGACCAATCACAACAGACTGGGCCATCTGACCAATCAGAGCAGTGTAGACCAATCACAACAGACTGGGCCATCTGACCAATCAGAGCAGTGTAGACCGGACACTGTGAGAAAAGAGGCGATGCTGCAATTTATGATTTACTCCTAATAATCATGTAAATATGTTTTTTGACCTTGGATATATGTAAACCTATCGTAGGAGACCTCAAAACCATAATTAGGAACCTTTAAAATAGCATAATAGGGCATTAAAAATGAAGTTCTTTAGCACTCTTACTAACGCAACACAGTGCTAAAAGTGTGATTTCTCCGAGCTGAAATGGTGAAGCTTTCTTCTACAAGCTGAGCTCACTCAAAGACAGTGCAGTTATGATATTTTCACCCTAAGTAGTGCTCGGTTGTAACTCGGTTCTCACAGCCTCAGGGTTGACAGAGGAGGCAGATGCTTTCCTTTCATCACAATAAAGGCTGAAGAGGCGGAGAGGAAATCCACTCTCAGGAACATTAGGGTCGGCCGGGCGTGGAGAAGAGCCCATCATGTCTTTACGAGGGATTGATTCTCTTTCTCAGCCTCAATCTGTGTGTAGCCCGTGGCCATGCCGAGGAGTTACAGGCACACTTTTTCAATCCTAAACGACTTCAGCACACAGTCTGTTTTCTTATTGTTTTCCCGTATATGATGTTTTTTGTTTTTGTTTTTTTTATAGATATTTTCAGTATACAGTTGAGGCACAAGTTTAGAAACAAGCTGAAGAATTACTGGCAGTTTTCATGTAATTTGTGTCAATAGGGGTATGAAACACGTTTTAAACAAATGCTTATTGAAAAGGACAAAATAAATATTACATGTGCTCTTTTATTGAGTTCATGTTATATGAGGTTATATATTGCAGTTCTCTAGCCCTGATACCAAAGTTGCAGATTTAGCCTAAAACAAGCCAGGCTAGTTATTTTATCACCATAAAATGTTGGTTTGAAGTTATTGATAAACTTTCACTACAGTTGAAAATAGAGATGCACAGATATGAACATTTTGGCCGATACCGATAACCGATAATTCTTTGTTTGAAAGACGATAACCGTTTTATTGGCCGATAAATCTAAATCCACATTTTTATATAATTTTTGAGAGTTTTATTACAAAAACAAAAGTCTCACCATTAAAAGCCACGTCCCAAGCACTTCAACATGAATCAAAAAAAGTACAGTAGCCGTACAGTAGCCGTACAGTAGCCTAGTTTGAATCAGTGTTAGTTTTAAAATTAATTTTACATTCCTGTGGCCAACTTTCCTTTGGCCGATATATTGTGCATCCCTAGTTAAAGTTTGGAGTTGCAAAAAAAGTTTTAACATGTTTTTGAAAGCTGTTTCTCACCAAGGCTGCATTTATTTGATTAAAAATAATATAAAATGTTACAATATTACAATTTTCATTCTGTGATATATTTTAAAATGTAATTTATTCCTGTGATTAAAGCTGTATTTTCAGCATCGTTACTCCAGTCTTCAGTGTCACATGACCCTTCAGAAATCACTCTAATATGATGATTTGTGGCTCTGTTGATACTGATATTTTTTTTCAGGATTAATTTATGAATAGAACATTCTAAAAAATGTGGAAATATCTTTACTGTGACTTTTGAATATAACGTATCCCTGCTGAAGAAAAGTAATAATTTTGTTTAAATAATTTTTTTTTACCTATCCCCAGTTTGAACAGTAGTTTATATTTTCTGTCAATGAAGGACAAACAAATATTGATTTGATAATTTTTAACTATAACTTTAATAATAGTTAAATTATTGAAAATGACGAATCCAGTAAACACCATCAAAACTTTTGATTTAATTTTTTTTTTTTTTACACATTTTGTTACTGACAGACCTTTCATATTCCTGAGGCTGGAAATGGAAAGGTTTTATGTACAGAGCACTTACAGTTGCATGGCTGGAAATTGCTGCTGTTTCCAGCTGGGGGTGTTATGAATATGAATATGGTCGCCGAGTGAACTGACTGGACCTGTAATATGTATAACCATATAACCAGTGCCATATAATGCAGCCTATGAACATGACCCTAACACGTGTGTGTGTGTGTGTCCCGCAGCAGAAGCGTGTCAGTAAGCGTGTGATGCTGTCCTGCACGAGCTGCTCTGCAGTGCTGGGCGAGGAACTCTCGGCAGGTATGCAACGCAAAGCAGCGCTCACACACCATTTGTGCATTTTACATGACTGCAAATGAATAAAACCAGTGCTTTTTTTATATTTCTAACCGTATGATGTCATATCTAACCCCTGATGCATATGGGTCATTCATTTCTTCTGTTAGCAACGCCAGCCTGAGACACTCTAAGATGCTTTGAAATGTTTTCAGACTCTTGGGTATTTATAAAAGTGCTGTGCTTTTGAAGCAAAAATAGTCAGATTGCAAAGGTCTATTTTTAGTGATTGTTCGTTTTTTTGTGTGTTTGTTTTTTGTTGATTGGGTTTTATTGCTACTATTTTAAAAGGATAGCTCAACGAACATACTGTCATCATTTACTCACCCTCATGTTTTTCTACAAACCCGAATGACTTGCTTCTTCTGTGTGAAGGAGGTGCAGATGTTCATGTATAGCCCTAGTAGTCTATGAGAAATGCACTGAAATTCTTCCCCTCCGATGAAGTTCTCAAATCTTGTTCGCTCTTATGCATATGTCAGATTTGATGTCCTTTCCTTTTCCTTTCCATCTCCCCTAGCACCAGAAACCAATACCATTGCAGTCTGTTACATGACCACAGACAATGTGTTAAAGTGCCTATTTCAATTTTACATTTTAAACACATGGGTGATAAAGAGGGCTTGAAAAAATGGCTGCGGTTAAATACTTTGCTTATTTCGTATACGTGTTCCACACTTGAAATTTAGTGAATGTGAATAAAAGACTAAATTAAATCTGTTCATCATATAAAGCGATCGAGTCTCTTCAGAAAATTTGGACTAAACCGCTCAATTCGATTCAACTTTTTGAAGCGTCAAAGTTTCAGTTGCGTAGACTGTCAATGGAGGGACAGAAAGCTCTCAGATTTCATCAAAAAGATCTTCCTTTGTGTTCTGAAGATGAACGAAAATGTTACAGGTTTGGAACGACATGAGAGAGAGTAAATGAGAGTAAGTGAACTATCCCTTTAACTCTGCATTACGGTGCCAAACACAAATTAAAGAACACAGATGCAGCCGGATCATTTCCATAATGAACAACGCAGTGAATCTACCAAGAGCAGCATTCCGAAAATATATATTTATATATATATATATATATATATATATATATATATATGGCCTGGAAAACAATAGCTCAGGATTATACCTTAAAGGAGAACTCCGGCGCAAAATGAACCTTTGTTCTAATAAAAAATTGGTAGCCTACCTAGTCAACCGTTCTCTGAGATTTGTTTTCATGATAATCGAATGTAAAGAGTTTTATCTCAAAAACTGTTTAGCGTATAACGCTAGTAATGGGGGCATTTAATAAGTAAAAAGAAATCGCTAGTTAATACCACTAACAAGACTCAAAATAGCCCCACACTAACACAGTAACATAATGAGGGTCCCTACATGCAAAACGAAGCATTGAGAACTTTGTAAGTGTACAGACCGTTTAATAAGAAGATATTTTATAAAGACAGTCCACTTCGAGTATACGAGCTATCTTTGGAAAACAGTTCCGACTAATCAAACCACGAACGACGTGATAAAGGGGTCATATAATGCCATTTTTGTACAAGCTAATATGATTCTTTAGGGTCTAAATTAAAAGTTTGTAATATACTTTAATAAAAATTCTCATTAGTATTGTAAGAAAACACTTATTTTACCTGGTCAAAAACAGCTCTGTTTTCAGCACGCCGTTTCAGTGTATATGACTTTAAATGATAATGAGCTTTGCTGACTCCGCCTCTCTGTTCTGTGCGTACACCATTTGTAACTCAATAACACAATAACCATAACACGTTGTTCAGTATAAACGTGGGATTATGCATTATATGGAGAACGTCATACATAGAAAACATGCCGTAATGTACCCTGAGTGTAAACCTGAGACTCATTCATTGTGAAGCGTGCAGCTAGCGATTTACAAGGATTAATATAAATATTAATATAAAGTTTAATAAAACGTTACACTCACTTCCGTTCTTCTGGAGGTTCAGCAGGAACACGAATAGGTTCCGATCCTTTATTCAGGTGCAGCTTCTTAGCAAATCCAGCTTTATACTGATCCTCGTTTATAAAGCAGTCTGGTGTGAAATGATTCGCGCAAACATGAGAGCATTGACGTTGCTCGTGGGGAATATTCCCTTCGAAAACAAACACAGCCACTGCGTCTTCGGCGGTTCGGATTTAGGAACATTAAAATGACTGCTGTGTTCGTTATTACACCCAAGAACAGAACACCACAATCGCTTAGACGCCATTCTGCTCATAGACAGTGCTCCAGCATATCAACAATGACCGCGCCGGTCCGCGCCGCGCAGACTATGATTGACAGCTCCCTCATGAGCGAGGGCGGGTCTGTGTTGAAACCCGGCTGTCATTCAACAATCGTGGGAGGGGCGTGCGAGCTTGTGACGTCACACGGTCGAACGGCTCGATTTGAGGCAGGGGAAAACATATAAGGAGATTAAAACAAAACCACTGGATGGATTTTTATCATTAAATGATGGTTGTGTACAGGCACTGCCAACACACATTTCAGTACAATCAACTTGTAAAAGTGCATGTACCATTATATGACCCCTTTAAGTGAGCTGAACTGTATGAATGTCGTTCGTGGTTTGATTAGTCGGGACTGTTTTCCAAAGATGGCTCCTGTCTGTATACTCGAAGTGGACTGTCTTTATCTTTATCTTATTAAACGGTCTGTTCACTTACAAAGTTCTCAATGCTTCGTTTTGCATGTAGGGACCCTCATTATGTTACTGTGTTCGTGTGGGGCTATTTTGAGTCTTGTTAGTGGTATTAACTAGCAATTTCTTTTTACTTATTATATGCCCCCATTACTAGCGTTATACGCTAAACAGTTTTTAGAGATAAAACTCTTTACATTCGATTTTATCATGAAAACAAATCTCAGAGAACGGTTGACTAGGTACCAATGTTTTATTAGACCAAATAGTTCTCCTTTAACTTTGTTCTTTATGACAAGAAAACGTGTTGTTGCTATGTAATGTTGAAGGCGCAGATGCTATTTATATGAGAGGTAATCTCTTCTAATCTTACACCTTCAGCTGCCGATAATGTGTAATATTCTGTGTTTAATATAGTTCACCGTTCTTCGTGTTTCAGAGGTGCTGAAGTTTTACATAACTGAAATATTAGTAAAGCCGGGTGAAGATGGAGGGTGTGATATAACACGGCTCAGTTTGGAGCCCAAGTCAGATTCAATAAGGTTAGTGAGTTAATTGGATTTATTCATTTTTTGTCGTGCGTAGATCATGTTTATGTAGCTTTTTTTATTGTGTCTCCTACAGGCAGCGATTCTTGGAGCAAACCTTAGCGTCAAGGCTGGTCGAGCTGTCGTCTGCACAGAGTATATTTCGCTTTTCCATCCAAACGCCAGATAGCACGGCTGTGATTTTGGTATGGAAATTAACGCATATATGTACAAACTGTTCAATGTGGTCCATGTGTAAATATTTCTCTCTTAAGTCAACTTACAATGTTATTCAGGGTTTGTTGCAACAAAAGCACTCAAATGTCTGTTATGGCAGTATGTCTGCATAGTACGCTTTGACATGATATGTCCCCTTTATAGCCGACCTTCAGGTAATTACTTTCCGTTTTAATTATCAGCTGTGGCTTCTGAACACGGACACTTTGGTCGCCTCATTTCCTGGCGAAAGCTTCATCTCCACAGTTGACGTTCATCCCAGAGAACATCAGTCATGCCAGGCTGTTCAAGCAGTCAAAGTGCTCTACGTCCTCTGCTCTGACAGCAAACTCAAAGAGTAAGCCATCAGTTCACCCTGACATCTGTTCATTCCCCTCATATTAATGTGGAAATCTAATCAGAGTCCTCCTCATCTCTGATGTAGATCAAATGACATATGGTGTTTTGTTGAGTAATTTAAAAAGATGCACCCTGTTAACTCTGGGAGGATCTTGTTTTAAAATTCATACTTTTTAGACCCAATGTTAAGGGCACTTTTAAACCCTGGTAAACAGCATTAGCATGACATAAAAATAAACATCACTAGTTTGTTACTTTCGATGCTTAAAACAAGAAAAAAAATCTGCTAAATGCAAAGGAAAATAGACTAGATATATTCTGTGAAAACAAATGGTACACAATTTAGGGATGCACGATGATATCGGGACAACATCGGTATCGGCCGATAAAAGCTTAAAATGACCATCATCGGCATCGGCCGATATGAATATTTCTGCCGATGAGCCTTGCCGTTAGGGTGGCCTGTTTCCTATGCGCACGTGACGACCGCGAACGAAGCATGAGCGCCAGCGCCAGCAACTTAAACTTCCAACTAGGGGTGTGCGTCTCGCGCAGTTTTTGATATAAATACAAATAAACTCTAGGTTTACATAAACAAAGTTGGTTATGTCTAAAGTGAAAGCAAACAGAGAAAATCTGCTTGTCAAATGCGTGTATATTAGACGCGTCGCATGCAGTTCTTAAAGAGACAGTAATAATATGCTGCCGCTTGTCCTTAAAGAGACACTGCACCCAGAAATAAAAAATCTGCCATTATTTACTCACTCTAATGTTGTTACAAACCTGTATTCATTTCTTTCTTGTGCTTAAATATACTATGAAAGTCACTGGAGTACAGCAACTGTTTGGTTAGCCACATTCTTCCAAATAACTTTTTTTTTCAACAGAAGAAAGAAACTTGAGAGAGTAAATGATGACAATTTAAATTTTTGGGAGAACTATCCCTTTAATGTTAATAAAACAACAAAACACAGAGGAAATCACTCACTGCTCTTGACTGAGAACTTTAATAGAAGCTTTAATAAGCTTTTTTTGCACTTAAAAAAAATACAAATATATATCGGCATCGGGCAAAATTAGTTTGAAAATATCGGCATATCGAATATCAGCCAAAATCCAATATCAAGCATCCCGAACACAATTCTCACATGAATTTATCTTGTGAAAATTTTTAGATATATTTTTATTGGGAATCCAAAATACTGATTAAACCTGTAAAGCTTGAAATGCAAAAAAAATTGTGAGAAAAATATAATGTTTTTAAATGGAACCTTTAGACAAAATGTTTTTTTTTTTTTTTTTAAATGTTTTTTTTCATTTTTTTTTTTCATATTTGATACATCAGGCGTTATGGAGCTCATACTCGAGGAAAAAAAACACATCAATTTTATTCAGTGGCCCAAACTAAGCAAAAATATGCAATTTGGTGCAGATGCTGATATTTATACAACCAAAAAGAAAAATGTAATGTAAATCAATAAGATCTGTGTAGCAGTACAGCATATACTTACATTTACATAAACATCATATAAATATCAGCTGTCACTCTATCTCCCAATAACATGTCTTAGTAAGATGATATTTAAATGCTTAGTTTTATTATCAAAGCTCTGTAGTTTTAAAGCATATAAAACAATACAAGTATGATTGAGAGGCTGATGGATTATATGTTATAAAAAAAATCAGTAAATATTTCACTGCAAAAAGAAGGTGGACATTTATACAATGATACTAAAAGGCCTTTAGCTTGCTAAAGAAGTATAAACTATCAATCAGACGACAGAAGGCATGTAGTAGATTATGTGCAAGAGGTTTCTCGACAACGTTCATGATCGTGTTGATCGTTTAAAGGCAATAGGCTTTAAGATTTTTCAGTGTTTACGAACCAACAACCAATACTTGCCTTGTTTAAATTTCAGGCACTTTATACATTCACAGAAACAAGACATGATCTATACTGTATGTTGTTGTTTTTTGCAACAATGTGATACACAGTCATGCTAATAAAGTCATGCTCATTTGAAAATTGAAATGAAAACTTTTAACACGCTCTTCTCGGTTTCAGCATCAGAGAGAAACAGTTTGAAGCGTCAAACAGCAAACATGTCAACTAGATTGATAATGAGACAATATTTTTGTAGTGTTTCAGTAAACATTTTGGGTGCTGATGAATGTTAATACATTTATTAAGTCATCATTATTACAAAGTAAATTTGCACACATAAATACTATTCAAATATAGAAATATCAAAAGAGACTATTTCTGTCATGAAGTTTTAACAATATGCAGTTACTGCATTTTGCCTTTGCAGGGCAGTATTTATTAACATTAATAATTGTGATTTCAATATCAGAAGTAGCCAATTGATCATTTAAAAATAATTAGTAATAAATTGAAGGAAATGCCACTGTAAAAATTGTGAAAATATGACCGCCGGTAGCCATAAATATACTGTAAATCCGCAAGCGCAGCAGAGAAATGCTCTCATCCTTCTTCAAAACGTTAAATGTTCCCTTTGTAAGAGCTTGAGGAGCCAAAGATGTGCTTGTGGGTGGGCAGGGATTGTGGGTGGGCGTCCTGCACTGTATTGTCTCTGACACCAGAAGGTCGTCACGACTCTTTACACCCTTACCTCGTCTCGCTCTCCTTTTTTTTCCAAGTGTACATTAACTCTGCCTCTTTTCCTACCCGGCGCTTACAGATGCGTTTGAGTGTGTTGAGGTGGTGGGATCAAACATGATTCATGGAGCTCGTATACAGGCCCTGAGCCGTTATGCTAATCAGAGGAAACTCTTAGGAAGCAGACTTTTGACTGTCCACATAATGTCTGGTCCACATTTCAACTGCTCACTTAGGTACGTACATTCAGACAGCAGGTAAATGTGGCCCAAATCACATGGAATCTGATCTTTCAAGTCCGATGTGTACCACTTCCTTATGTGGAACTAATCCGATACAGGTCAGATGTTTTTCAATCCGACCTCAGTCTGAACAGTCATTTCAGAATTCATGCGACTTTTACGTCGACATTCGTCAAATTCTGCGCTCATGGGAGTCACTTCAAATGTTTTACTTACAAGTTCTCAAGAGTTGCGAAGGGTTGTCATTAAAGACAGTGATGTGTCCCAACTCAGAAGTATTACAGTGACAGATCAGATACAAGCAAAACATCAAGGGCTCGTATCATAAATGTTTAAAAAATCTGCTCTTTTTTCTCACATCCATCATCTCTTTGTTTTTTATATTGCCTGCGTTCAAATTTACTGGCTTCGGCGGCTGATCACACTATAAATAAATGCACAAACGCTTACTTTAATGGCTGTCTTGTTTACTTCCGTATGATCCCATATACACTCACCTAAAGGATTATTAGGAACACCTGTTCAATTTCTCATTAATGCAATTATCTAATCAACCAATCACATGGCAGTTGCTTCAATGCATTTAGGGGTTTGGTCCTGGTCAAGACAATCTCCTGAACTCCAAACTGAATGTCAGAATGGGAAAGAAAGGTGATTTAAGCTATTTTGAGCATGGCATGGTTGTTGGTGCCAGACGGGCCGGTCTGAGTATTTCACAATCTGCTCAGTTACTGGGATTTTCACGCACAACCATTTCTAGGGTTTACAAAGAATGGTGTGAAAAGGGAAAAACATAAAGAGGCTACAATTTGAAAGAGCTCACCAAAATCAGACAGTTGAAGACTGGAAAAATGTTGCCTGGTCTGATGAGTCTCGATTTCTGTTGAGACATTCAGATGGTAGAGTCAGAATTTGGCGTAAACAGAATGAAAACATGGATCCATCATGCCTTGTTACCACTGTGCAGGCTGGTGGTGGTGGTGTAATGGTGTGGGGGATGTTTTCTTGGCACACTTTAGGCCCCTTAGTGCCAATTGGGCATCGTTTAAATGCCACGGCCTACCTGAGCATTGTTTCTGACCATGTCCATCCCTTTATGGCCACCATGTACCCATCCTCTAATGGCTACTTCCAGCAGGATAATGCACCATGTCACAAAGCTCGAATCATTTCAAATTGTTTTTTTGAACATGACAATGAGTTCACTGTACTAAAATGGCCCCCACAGTCACCAGATCTCAACCCAATAGAGCATCTTTGGGATGTGGTGGAACGGGAGCTTCGTGCCCTGGATGTGCCTCCCACAAATCTCCATCAACTGCAAGATGCTATCCTATCAATATGGGCCAACATTTCTAAAGAATGCTTTCAGCACCTTGTTGAATCAATGCCACGTAGAATTAAGGCAGTTCTGAAGGCGAAAGGGGGTCAAACACAGTATTAGTATGGTGTTCCTAATAATCCTTTAGGTGAGTGTATAATCCCGTATTTAAATGTTTTTGATAATTCAGTAAATTAAATATTTTACAAATGAATGGTACTTTATTTCATTTGATTGTCTTATTTAGAATTGGGTTCATTAATATAATACATACTAATGGACATCAGATGAATTATACATTTGAGAAGCAAGTTGAAACATTGGACAGCAACCACACACTTCAGTCACACAGTCTCTACTCAAACATACACAACAAAACTAAATCACTCCAGTTATAAACAAGAGCCGTCTTCACTCATTGTCTGTGGCAGTTTGTAGAGTAAGTTTTCTAAACGGTGTCAGATTTTAAAAATTGTGTTAGATATATATATGCAAGTATAAAGAGTACAGCAGAATTTCTACTGGTTGACAAACACTGGTGGAATATTTAATAATTTACCTTTTAAAGGGATACTCCACTTTTTTTGGAAATAGGCTCATTTTACAACTCCCCCAGAGTTAAACTGTTGAGTTTTACCGTTTTTGAATCCATTCAGCCGATCTCCGGTTCTGGCGGTACCACTTTTAGCATAGCTTAGCATACACCATTGAAGTGGACAAGACCATTAGCATTTCTAAAAAAAAAATGACCAAAGAGTTTTGATATTTTTTCTATTTAAAACTTGACTCTTCTGTAGTTACATCGTGCACTAAGA